TACCTTCCTCCTCTTGTAATAGCCTTTTCCCATATAATACCTTCCTCCTCTTGTAATAATATAACCTTTCCCTGTGTGTATTACTACGTGATAACTTCCTCCTCTTGTAATGAATGTCTTGTTTGTGTAACTATGCTATCACAATACCTGTGCAATATGCTTTTGGCATTGTAATGCAAATGGAACACCACACCATGACATGTACATGATAGGCTCTGTACATATCAGAGTCCCTATTACAACTCATAACAGAAATAACAAAACTGGTGGCTTTAGAATACAGGAAACACTCTTTTTGAATGTATATGTCCAATAAGAGGTGTGTCATGTGGGTCCAATGGCTCAATTGCACCTGTCCATCCATCAAAAATCAGTCTGTGTTAAAAATTCTGTTTCATTAAATTGATCAAGCAAAGAGCCAAGAGAAATCTTCAAATTCAATTGGAAAAAAAAAAAACAATAACTTAACTCACAAGTTGCAGTTAGTCACACAAGAAAGTACCAAATTGTTTCCAGACATATCTTTAGCAATAGCCAAATCTACCACTGTGTAATTGACAAGTTTTAAAAAATTCACCCCTTTTAAACAGTTTTGTTCTTCACAAATAACTTCTTGGGTAATGAAGAACTTGATTTTAAATAATTGACTGGTTCCTAATTTTGTATTTGGTCTATTTGAAACCCCTATTATGTCCATAATTGTTTTTTTAAATTAATTTGAAATCAAGAAAATTATAGTAGGAGGGACAGAATTGATGGTGATTTTGTGGTCCAGACAACAATGGGTCACTGCACCATTTTCAAAAAATGTGTTAAAATAGCAACCAACCAACACCATAGTGTGATTGGAATTGTAAACTTGCTATGATGTATCAAATTTCTTTTAGCAGTGTTTTTCCACTGACATTCACCAGAGGGGAAGAACTTTGGAAATTTTATAGCAAGTTCCATAAGAAGCAAAAAGGGACCCTTTTTAATTTTCCCCTGAAATGAAATTCTGTAGACAGCCCATTGAATTTGGGATTTCTTGGTTAGTGTGAGCTTATTTTTTCTAACACTTTCAGATTTTGGAAACATTTCAAAATGATATTGCTACCAGTAGTGCCACATTGTTTTCAGACAGAAACATTTTGATGTTTTGTGCTCCTGTAGACATGTGATATCCCTTCATTTCCCTTATTTAACATTAATTTATTTCCCTTTCTTTGAATTCATGATTCTTGAAAACCTTTTCTGTCATTTTCCCCACAATCTGGCTCCCTTGTACTCAGTATTTGACTTCAAATTCTTTTACTCTACTCTAGGAAAATCAGAAGGTCTGATGATACCTTCTTTTTAAGACACCCTTTATCAAATTATCTCATCCAAATCACCTTTTTAATGCTCAGGAAGACACTTCTCCTTATGGCACTGCCTGCAATTGTCACTTGGTTGAATGCATCTTAGTTTATCAAATTTGGAAAAAACAATCCTGTTCAATAATTGATGAGCTCAACAGATTCTCTATATAAAAATTTACCTCTACGTCCTTTGAAACAAATCACATGAGTTGAATGTAGCCAATAATCCATTGATTGAATGTAGGTATTAATATGATGCACTGAAGCAAGTTGGATTTGCTGGAAGTGTTGTCCTAAACAGAAATGTCAAAACACCTATTTTTTTTTCTAGACCTAGTCACTGAAAATTTACAGACTTTTACAGAAATCTAACAGTTTGTAGACTCTGTGGTGAGCTTCTACATTTCAGATATTTCTCAAGAATCTGTCTGCCAATAAAACTGCTACAGATACATTTGTTTGCCAACAACTGAACTTATTTCATTTGAATTTATTCAAGAAATATTCAGGACAGTACACATAGAAAGATTGAATATCCAAACAGCATGAAATTGGACATATAGTATTTGGATTTTGGGTTATGTGAGTTTGAACATTTGAAAAATACAATTCTCAACCTTGCAAATCTTATTGATCCTGAGTTCGAGACTTGTTAGAAAGTGAATCAGGAATGAGTAGCAGTTACTACTCTCTGTTTACTTTGTGAAAGTGTTTGTTGTGTTAGATTGGCACATAGAGGTACAGACAATTTCTGTCTTTGGGTCTTGAAGACAACTGATGGGCAAGGCAGCTCTGTTAAACAAGGCCACAGGTATATGACATGTAAATATCTTGTTGATGAAGATCAAAATCATATCTCATGCAATTAGGACCTAATACAGGAGAGAGTTCCTTCTATTACATCCACTGGTATGGAGGTGATGGTAAGATGGGAAGCAGTTAATGGACACCAAAATGTCACAAACACATAAGATGTGACACTTCTACCACAGAGAAATACCAAATCCATTTCCCAACGATAAGCAAAAACAACGACAAGATGACCAGTACCGAGAAGAACAAGCCTGCGTCGCCCCAAAGACCCGTCGTGGATTTGTATGGCGAACCCAAGTTTTTGAAGAAAAAGGTATGATGGCATTCTTAAAGAGATTACAATTTCCTAAAAGGCTTAGTAGGAGTTTGCTCTCATTAACAGCTTGCTTTTGACTGATTTTTTCACTGGGGAACAACGGTTTGAACCGGATAATTAATCACCGATATGTGGACCGAATTGACGTGACTAGAGGAAGAAAGAAGTGAGCGAAGGAATTCGTAATCCGCTATGGAATCCGTCGACTGGTGCCTTATCAACCCAAGATATCATCTCGACTATCGTGCCCCAAAACATACCACACCTCGAGAGAAACTACCAGAGCAAACTCAGCGGCAGACATCTGACCTTACGTCGAACCGACCAATCTGAGTCGGTGAGCTTACTAGCTTTTTTCAAGCCTATTGAACACGCAATTATTGGGCTTGAGTTGCTGGAAAAAAATATGACGGGTCGTTCAATGTTCTTCTTTATCTCCTGTGATGTGTAGAGAAAAAATCAGATTGCAGGTTCCAAGTCGAACAGGAAATTACCATCCGAAAGACAAGCTCGATTCCTTGAACTAGAGAGACTGATTGAACTGGAGCAGAAAGGATACCGGTATGTCCAATTTTATGTTGACGAACCATCACCTGACCCAGTAGACTGAAGGTGGTTTTACGAAGGTATAAGAGCTGATATCCATGTAAAAAAAAAAAACATACATTTCAGATACGAAGACTTTGTGCCATTACACCAACTTTGGTTGGGATACATGTCGGAACTACTAGAGGTGCGGTTGAAGAGCCTCGACTCGAAAGAGTCAGTGCGCACTCTTCCCACCGAAGGCCTGCTTTCGCGATCGGAGAGATTCGCAGGAATGCCCTCTATCTCCACCATCCAATCGAAACTTCTTAAGGCCGACTATCATGGCGCCTACTTGGTCGGTACGTCACCTGCATCTCTCCCTGGCCTCCTTCAACAATTCCCAACTCATATTCGTTTTCCCTCCCTCCTTTTTTCTTTGCAAAAAAAAACTGCAGTACACAAGGCTAAGAATCCTTCCTTGGTTGACTTGCAAGGAATCGTGATTCAAGAATCTGAACAGACATTCAAGTTGATAAAACCTGACAGCCAAATCAAGAGTCAGTTTCCTTGATTTCATCCTGTTTTAAATTCCACCCGTGCTCAGCTGAAGCCTCTATGAGTCCTGCGTCTTTTTTCACCACTTCTTTTATCTTTTTTCCTTGAAAAAAAAACCTACGACGTTCAATCAAAACATAAAAGCGGTTCCTAAGGCTCACAGCATCTTCCAAATATCGCTACCCTTACTTCAGTCACCACCAACGGCCAGGCCGAAAAGCGAGAAGGATAGTAGCGATAGTACGAGTTTCTTCGTATTCAGGATCTTCGGAAACCAATTCGTCTTTCGACCCACCGAGCGGATCAACAAGAAATTTAAAGCAAAGGCGTTCTCTGAGTTGTGACACTCTCCCCTGCATCAATTTTCTCTTTTGATGTGTCTGTCTGGGTCCCCTCCGTAACAATGATGTATAGAGAAAAAAAAAGTGAAGGAAAAAAGATCCGAGTAACAAACACGTGGGGCTAAAGATTTCTGGCTCCGACCCCCAATGGCGAAAAAAGGGCCTCATCGGGAATTGAACCCGAGACCTCTCCCAAGCATGGAATCGAGTGTTGTGGACCCGATACCCAAAGGGAGAATCATACGACTAGACCATAAGGCCGATGGAAGCACGGACATAACAGAGATTTTCCTACAGCTGATTACTATTGATTGACATCACTACAAAAAGGCATAGTGCTTTCAGAGTTGAAAAGATTTTTTAAAAAAAAATCAGAAGCAGTAAGGTGAGTACAGCCAAATTCCATGTCAAAACATGCCAGGTGACATGCAGTTAAATTGTGTCTTGCTATTCCATTTTATTAAAAATATCATGTCACTGGTGTATTATGTAGTAAATTATATTTATATACACCTGAGTCAAGCCCCCTCTTTCCAGGGGCTTTCTGAAAACGGCTGTTCCTGAACATCAAATCAGCAGTTGTGCGA